TCTTGTGCTTTACAGCCAGTGCTCTCAACTGCTGAGCCAGCACTCTGGTCCACAACTTCTGCTTCTAGAGGAAGACAAATTATAGCCACGGAAGCTGAGGAGCGGTTGAATGCTGGAGGTCCAGAGAAGATATGGCAGGTTGTGGGGCTAGAGCGATGGCCCAGTGGGTTAGAGGACTTGTTCTTCCAGAGGATCAGGTTCAGCCCCCAGTGCCCACATCATGATCCCCAAACAGCTGGAACTCCAGTTACATTGGGTCCCTTTCCCCCCATACTGGCCTCTGATAGCACCAGGCACATTGCAATACACTGACATATGTGCAGGGAAAACACACAAACATATAAAATAATAATTAATAAAAGAAGGTCGCACATTGTTACATTTATCCTGAAAAATATCCAAAAGCTGATATTTTAATTGTCAGCATAAAATATGTTTTAAACTTTCCCCATGTCTCTCTTTTAATCTCTCTCACACATGCATAGTTATGCATTGTTATAGACTATTTCATGACATTATTGAATCTATAATATATCATAATCTTTCACTTTAAGTACATCAGAATTTATCTCCTTGCAAGGAAGTGATTTTCTGGAACCACAAAGCAGTGATAAAGATCAGGGATTCTCACATTGTTACTGTGCTATTATCTATAATATAGATCTTATTCTAATTTTCCTAAATGTCTGATTAATATTTCACATCCAGAATCATGCATTTGTCACTATGTCTTTTTAATCACCTTTACTGTGTGGCAGGTTTTTGATCTTAGTCTTTCTGAATAGTGACTTTTTAAAAGTTATTTGTTAACAGTTTCAATATTCTATCTTCTAACATGTATATACAACAAAACCTTTCTTTTCTGACAAGGAAACAAAATAATGGATTTAAGAAAACATATTTCTCACTGTGGTTTGGAAAGGCATTCATCATTCTTGAGAAGAAAATACATACTTTTAATCCGTGCAAGTATATGAATAAGTATGTGCTAATAACCCTTTGTGACTAAAATGACTTAAGCAGTATATTTTCCAGCATGTAATGAATATACAGCCTATTATTTATAACTTTACTGAAAGCCATAATCAATGAAAAATTAGGGTATATTCTAATTTATTTCATTAAGCGTTCGAGTCAGAAACCTGGCTTTTAAAAGTGCATCGATTGTCCCTCAGCTGTAATTCATGATTCAAGTCCTTTATCATCATTTAAATGAAACAACATATATAAATTGTTCTTAGTTCAGATTAACCTTAAATCAGTTTTGCGAGCCATACGATGCAGAATATAAAACTGTCAAGCGGACATTAGGCTCCTCTTTGCTACAGGAATGTACTTTCAGAGACTTCTGCATTCTAAATGCCTCAGTCTTGCACAATTTCACTGACACTCAAGTGCACTAAAGGCCTCTCTCATATCCAATGCTGTCTTCAGGCATAACATGATGGAAATGCAAACGGAGTGAATCCCAGTCTCCAGTAAGGGTGCTAGGCTTTCTACTTCTCCTAATCACATGTGAGTTTGGAAGAATAGAGTTGTTAATTTGATGTTTTTACAATGGATTAGAGTTCAGGATTAGGTGTAGTCATTCATATCACTTCACTTTTCTCATTCACTGTCAAATTGTTAATGGCTCTCACTGCATCTTCATCATGGTTGAATCACTAATCTCGTTTCTCTCTGGCTTCTTGATAGAACTCTGAAGCCTCTTTGTTCCTCCAGTGTATCGCTTTGCTCCTTTATCGAAGATTAGGGGGTTGTGTGTGGGGGCTGTATTCCATGGATCTGCTGCTGTTGCTTCAGCTTTCTAGTGAGCCTTCAGTTCCTACAGTGCACATGTAGCCTTTTATGTTAAATGGTAGTCTATTTGGAAACCATGCACTCTTAGTAAAATAATTATGACACCATTTTTCCCTTGTTTTAGTAAATGTAAAAACCACTATGCAAAGTTCTTCCTAGACTTTTGAAATAATATCCACTTTCTTGTTTGAAACACTTAACTACTTTTTATGATCAGGATGATTTCTCTAAAATAAAATCCAATGTAAAGAAACTACTAATATTTTATCTATGCATTTTATGATTATACTCTAAAAACATTTAGATATTTTGATTTTTTATAGGTACATAATGTCTAGATAACAGTCATTTACTTTATAAAAAGACAAATCTGGGTATTCCAACACTGTGTCCTTTGAATACACCCATTTTTTTTGTTGTTGCTTGAAATGTAACTTTGTCATATGCTAAATGCTGATACTTAAGATACATTTTCTGTTTCATTCACCACTTTGTTTCCAGAATGAGCCACTTTGTCTTAGATAGTATAGACCTTTATCTCTAATGTGCTGCCATACTGGCTCTTTACATCTTTGTAAGGGATGAGGACCTCATGTATAGCATGAGGACCCTTAGGAAAGAACATAAGCAGAGCCAGTGCCACAGTGGCCTTGGCAAACTGGTCATTTCTTGCTTCTGATGAAGATGAACCTTTACACATTCATTCTGTTTCTACTTTCTTATGCTCAAATTCAGATCTGCTAGTACCTTAGCTTCCTGCTAAGCCTGCTAGAACTTAAAATCACCATATTAACTTCTAAGATTGTGCTAAGTACTAAGGAAGGCAGCATGGAAACTTGGGGTCTCATAACATGGTTTTTCCAGCCTTTGGCTCCTAAAGGTCACCTCCTTACTTCATCATTTTTCAATAGTGAAAGACTTTCAACCTTTGGAAGTCAGTGTTTTCACTTGGAAGTTGGCAAGGAATAGCCAACTGTGGTTTGAGTGGACTCTTTGTTTCTCTCTCCAGTCCACTGTGGTCCCCAATTACATACACATACACTCAAGAAGGGGGGAAGGAGAGAATAAAAGGAGAAAAGACAGTTTCTGACATGAACTCAGTTGCCTGTTCCTTGATCACTTCTCCGTGGTGGGGAGACCTTGCCAGTCTACAGAGAAAGAGGATCTAGATAGTCCTGATGGAACCTGAAAGGCTATGCCCAGACTGTTGGGGAGGAGGGCTTGCCCTATCAATGGCCTAGGGGAGAAGGATAGGAGAGAAAGCGGGAAGAAGGGTGGGACCTAGAGGAAATGAGGGAAGGGCTACAACTGGGATACAAAGCAAATAAACAAACAAACAAACAAATAAATTACCTTGATTGCTCATCTTGTTAATTTATAACAAGTTATTTAGTTATAGTGTATAATTGTTCTTGGAAATAACTTGGTTTTCATATTTGTTTTTCACTCATAATATATAAAACATTTGATCATGTGAAGGTACTGAGGAATATGTTTTGTTGTTATTGTTGTTTTGTTTGTTTGCATATGCTTATTGTAATCATTCGCTTAAAGAAAAATAGAATGTAACCACATTGTGATTTTTATACTGATTGAAAGATCCTGCTGGGATATATAAATTGTGGGAAAAGTTGTAAAACTGTAGTTTGGAACTGGCAAACACACACACACAGAAAAAGAATATTGTTGCTTTAATTCTATATTTCCTGTGTGTAAGGTTGGTTGGAGGAGAAACAGACAAGAGAACAAATGACTCAAAGACAGAACAGGCTGTATTTAGGATAAACCTGCAGATGAGGGGAAAAAAAAATCCTCTAGAGCAGTGGTTCTCAACCTTTGGGTCTTGTGCCATTTGGGATTAAACAATTCTTACACAGGAGGTGCCTAAAACCATTGGAAAACACTGATGTTTACATTACAATCATGGCAGTAGCAAAATTAGAGTTATATAGTAGCAACAAAGATAATTTTATGGTTGGGGGTCAGCACAACATGAGAAACTGTATTAAATGGTTGCAGTATTAGGAAGGTTGAGAACCTGCTCTAAAGTAACCAGAGCCATTACATAGGGGAAGGGTAGTAGCTTACAGGTTGGAGTACCTATAGGGAAGAAACATGGAAGATGGGAGAGGCTGGCAAGGGCTCCTTCATATGAATTTACTGCATTCATGTATCCAGTAAATATAAGGTAATATAAAGTGAAACTGCTCTGACTCCATTTGAAACACGAGGAAACTAACGTTCAGAAATGGCAGGCAACCATCTGTAAGGCATAATGCTAATTATTCTCCCGTTTGAAGGTGATTTTAAGTCTGTAACTGTTGTCTTATCACAGTCAGGCCCCGGTGGAAACTCCAAGCCCTAGGATTCAGAATTTTCAACTTGTTTCCTGAAACTGCTCTTCTCAGTTCCCAGCTCTTCCCCCAGTCCCGCTGTGTGGTGTTTACTTGGAGGGCAGCATAGTCAGAAGGAAGGTGTGGCAAGGGCTGTGTCCCCACTGTGTGTTGGGTTTGATCTGTTCACATAGACAGCTACATTTAATACTCACAGCAGTTCCTCAGCAGAGCTACGAGTTCACCATCCTGATTTTGCAAATAGCCGCTTAGTCAATCCGGGTGAATGAACATTACATTAATAGTCACTTCTAAATTTGCTTCAGACTTTTCTTCTCACTGTTTTCATTGATATGTTGCCTGGGCAAGGTGAATGGTCTTTATTTTCTTACCTCATGTTCATAATACTGACATCGTCTTGGAGCGATGATACTTATATACCAGATATTTGTTAGAAGGACAAATGTTGAGAGAACACATGTGTGAAATGTTAATATCTGTTTTCACTGGAAAAAAAAGGGTTTTAAAAATAAAAGTTACAGGTAGTAATGCAAAATATGTATTTTGTTATTAGAAAGTTGGAAGTTTCACTAAAGGGTTTGGTTTCTCGTAATTTTTGGCAAGAATATTAAGTACAATTTAGTAAAGGTCATGACTAATAACATATTTGCATGTTAAAGAGTATTTTAGATATTAATCCAAACATGTAGGGTATTAATGAATGATATTAGTGTATAAATATGTAATATTAGTGTAATAATATGATATTAGTTTGTATTAATGAGATCACTGTCCATTTATCTAAACTAATCCCTCAAAGTACATGGATGATGTAATTAAAGTAAGTTGCTCCTTTTCTCTTCACAGCTCAGTCCATTTTTAAGACACACTGTTCTGAAGAAAACATACAATGTCACTCTGCCATGGTCATCTTCTGCTAAGAGAGAAAAAAAGACAGGCCTTCCCTTCCGAAAAAAGGAGAAAGAAAATCGAGGAAATAACGTAGAATATCCTAACTGGTGAGTATGCTAGGCTCACAGTCACAGAGACACATATATGTAACATGTATTTGCAGCATCGTATAGATGCCTTGCTCAGGTCCTTCATCTCCCTCAGGTGATTAGCTGGGCTTATGGTGTCAAGCAATCAGTAAGAGGTTACAGGGAAGAGCATCTCCATGCTTCTACACCTGACTGCTAATCCGATTTTTATTGTCTTTTTCTTTTTGTTTTTAATGGCAAGGCAGAGGGTTACTTCAATGTAATTAACTCTATGGGCTCTTAACTAATACAGTTTTCTAATATAAAAAAAATAAATTGTGTTATAATAAATTACAATAAACTAATATCGAGCTTTAGCAAGATATTTTGGGATTATATGACACAGCAGCTCGAGTGTCTTCTGGATACATTGTCTAAATGTACCTCTAGGTATATTTGGAAAAACAATAGATGTGCTCCTAGAAAGCACTAATGGATAGCTTCCTAGCTGTGAGGTAAGCAGTGAATGCATTATCATGACTATGGTGGTACCTTGGGCTTTGATTATGTATGTAAGGTAGAATAGGACTTAAACTGCCAGATGGCGCAGGATCTAAAGGTTCTTTCTCATTTCAGTGTTTATATTGTTAAAAGGTGTACTTCAGTGGTTGACAATGATTACATTAATTATTAAAGAACAGATTCTAAACAAGTTATTTATCAAGGTAATAAACATCTAACTGAAAAATTGTTATCTATCACAGAAAATTAGAGCAACAAATCAAATTACTAGTATAACTGACATTAAATATAAATAACTAATATTTATATTTAAGAAGGTTAAGAATATCTGAGTAATAATATTTTACTCTATATACAGGAAAATATTTCAGACCTATTGGGCTAAATAAAATTTTTATTTTTCATTTTTTTATTTTTTTGCAGTAATCAGAAAGTATAAAATTATCTGTGGCCAAAATTATAATGCTGCTGGTCAGTGATAATTTAGATTGGGTTATCCACATTTTAGATTAGTGACCACATCTGTATTTTGTATAGAAAAGTAATGTCTTTGTTTTATCTTATTTTTGGAGGATTTTTTTTGATAAATACAAAAACTAGGTTGGAAAATATTTTCTTTCTGCATATTGAAAATACCAGTATCTGTTTCCTACTCTCTTAATGAGCTGTTTTTGCTTTGAAGATTGTGTCTTTTATCTGCTTTCATAGCATCAGAAAAAAACAAAAACAAAAAAACAAAGTAAAAGCCAACACACAAACTTAATGTTCCCAGGTTTTCTTGCCTTCAGCTTCTTCCTCAATGTTCTTTGATGTTTGTTAATATTCTGCATGGTGTAATTTGGTGGTTTTTTAAAATCATCCATAAAAGTTATTGCCTATTATATTTTCAAATATTGTTGTTCTACATCCTTTCTCATCCTAATTTGATAATCTGGTTATGAGCATTCTTTATTCTATGTTTAATGAATCCCACATTTTCTCATGTATTTTGTAGACTATTTTATTTATATTTCACTGTATGTTTTGGTAAGAACTTCCTCTATGTCATCAATCCTCCATCATCTAACTTGAAGATAAGTACATCTACTGGGTTCTTAATTTAAATTATTGTTTTGTCAATTCTAAAACTGGCATTTTACTAGTATTTATAAGCCCTGTCTTATTAACATGTTGTAAACATTTCACTTTCCATAATTTTTATACCACAGAAGACAGTCCCAACTCCAATTCAGCTTTGGCTCTGTTTATAGTATCTGTCATCTGTTTTGTGTTTCTTCACTGTATCTCACAAAATGGCTAATTGTTTATTCAAATGAATATTGCTAATGGAAACTTCCAACATGGTTGATATTCTGTAGTACATCTTCCTCCAAACAGGAGATCCCTTCACAGGGATGTGCATGTGACTGATACCATCTTCTTCAAAACAGGGTTTCCCTCCATTTCCAGGAGCCATATAATTCTCATGACTCACATTTCTCTGATGCTAACCTTTCTGTCAGGTCAGTGAATTTACTATGTCTGTCTCCAATTTCTTTTCCTCCTTCTTGGGCAATGGTCAGACGCTCTGTGAAGCTGCTAAGATCATAAGCTATCACTTTTTAATGCTGCGTTTTGGTCTCTTGGCCAAATGCACATGGATTTTTGATAAACATCTTCCATTAGGAAGTAACACAATGCCAAGTTCCCATATGATCCACCCTTCTCTTCAGGTTTTGCGTGCAGGACTCTGAGAATGGTGTGACACCAGTTTAGATTCTTACCCATTTTGTGGCTGTTTTCTTTCTTTCTTTCTTTCTTTCTTTCTTTCTTTCTTTCTTTCTTTCTTTCTTTCTTTCTTTCTTTCTTTCTTTTTCTTTCTTGCTTTCTTTCTTGCTTGCTTGCTTTTCTTGTATGAAGAGTTTTTCTTAATTTTAATTTTTTTTCTTTACACTTTCTTGTCCTGTTTGTGAACTCAAGGCTCCTTCACAAGCCTTGTGCTACTTTCTCCTTATCCTTTTCATCCAGTTCCTGGCTCCTGGTTCCTCAGACTATCTCTGTAACTCTTTCATTGATGTGTATTTGAACAAAAACTTCCTTCATAATTTTCAGATACATAGTCTACAATAAATTGCTCATTGCCATATCCATATTTTCTAATTTATCATAATTCTTTAGTTATTTTTATTTTATGCCTCAACAACTCTTGAAACCCATTATCATCAATGGACACTTACAACTGAAAAAGAGTCTTATAAATTAAAAGTCTTCCAGTCTTCTGTGAGGATATATTCTCTTTAAGTTACATGTCTACTCATTAGTTAAATTTGCTTCTAGATTTATTAATTTTGAAGGTTATATTGTGGCAGCACATATTATGATAAGATGCTTATTGAACTCTTCTGTCTGGTGTGGTACAGATATTTTTAATTTTTTTTCTTTATTACTATTATTACTTATTACAATTTATTCACTTTGTATCCTGGTTGTAGCTTCCTCTCGCATCTCCTCCTGGCCCCACCCTCCCCCTTTTCTCCCTATGTCCTTTCCCTAGTCCACTGATAGGGAAGGTCCTCCTCTCCTACTATCTGACCTTAGCTTATTAGGTCTCATTAGGACTGTCTGGGTCCTATTTCTGTGGTATGGTAAGGCCACCTAGCCAGGGGGAGGTGTTCAAAGAGCCAGCCACTGAATCCATGTCAGACAACCTCTGCTCCTCTGACCAGGAAACCCACATGGAGACTGAGCTGCCCATGGGCTGCATCTGAGCAGGAGGTCTAGGTCCTCTCCATGCATCTTTCTTGGTTGATTCATCAGTCTCTGCAGGACCCCCTGAGTCCAGATTTTTGGCTCTGTTGGTCTCCTTGAGGAGCTCCTGTCAACTCCAGGTCTTTCTATCTCCCTGTTCTTCCATAAGATTCCCTGCACTCTGCCCAAAGTTTGGCTATCAGTCTCAGCATCTGCTTCGATACCCTGGTGGGTAGAGTCTTTCAGAGGGCCCCTGTGGAAGGCTCCTGTCCTGCTCTCTGTCTTTTCCTCCTTTCAATGGCTATTCTGTTTGCCCTTCTGAATGAGTATTAAGGCTCTTCCCTAGGGTCCTCCTTGTTTAGATTTTAGTATGTTTATCCTATATTATATGGTTAAATATCCATTTATAAGTGAGTATATACCATCTGTGTCTTTCTGCTTTTGGCTTACCTCATTCCGGATGATCTTTTGTAGTTCCATCCATTTGCCTGAGGATTTCATGATTTTCTTGTATTTAATTGCTGAGTAGTGTAAATGTACCACAATTTCTGTATCCATTCTTTAGCTGAGGGACATCTGGGTTGTTTCCAGATTCTGGCTATTATGAAAAGCTGCTATGAACATAGTTTCATTAGAAATGCTCTAGTGGTCCAGCCTTGCTTAAATGAAATAAAATCCTCTGGAAGAAAGCACCCAGAGACAAATCCCTGATCAACTTCACCATTACAGATGGATAAGAAGACCTCTTTCATTTTCTCTTATGTTTAGGCATTTTTGCCATTGCCATTGCAAACTGTCAAAAAAAAAAAAAAAAAAAAACTACCCAATTTGCAGGTATGATTATTCTTCATCCAGTAAATATAAAGCACCTTGTAGTCTTTAATTAAATTTTTGATAAAGGCACATGTTTAATTATGACACAATTAGAGAGAAGTTTAATGCTTGGCTAAGCTACTATACTAACTCTAAAGGAGACGGTGAGTTAATATGTCCAAATGCTGACACGAGTCTAACCCATGTTTGTGTAATGGGGAAAAAGCTAGACCACAGTGAGGAAATAACCACCTCCAGGGTTGGAAAGTCATATCAGAGACTAAGAGGGATATAATCTGAATAAATGATCATATTTCCAGTTTTTTCTGTGTCAAGTCGTAAGTATTCAACTGTTCCTTGCCACCCAAAGTCCCTAAGCATTGCCTATTTTGTGTAATCTCACAGACAAAAGGCTTAGAAAAAGACTAGAATTTCTTCACAGATGAACCGTATTAGATTCTTATATGTTGTAATCATATTTATGTAAGTAATCCTACTGTCAAAGAACTTTATTCCAAGACCATTTGTCCCTGGTAAAAACCAGCGTAGTCAGTTACACCATCAAAGTTTTAAGAGCTTATCTGCTGATGTTTCCTCTTTCACTCTCTCTGGGCTTCCTCTTATTAGATGTGCTACTCCTATGGTACAGCACCCACATGGTTGCAGACACAGCACACACTAACATGGATTTTTAGCAAGCCCCAGGCTCCTTGTTTGAGATAACAAGAAATCAGAAATCATATGTTGGCTCAGGTAGAAATATATACAATTGAGGCACTACTTACTGAAACAACTTTTCTCTCCTCACAGATACATCCCAAAGGTAACGTGATGTAACCCAAGGTCAGCTGGCCATCTTCTCAAGGAAATATACTTCCATTGTGATGATATCCTTCCTCAGCTGAACAATGAACACAGTGTTCATTCTAACCTCCAGAGACAGAAAAGTCTATTGCTTTAGCACATTTAATTCTTTTTTTT